CATTGCGTAAAATGTGAGAAAAATTTGACTTTAATTCAGTATATTTTAACTTCGCTAATTTGCTATATTTACATATATGTACAGTATCGATAGTACTTGTGAGATTTATTAATATTTCAAAGTTGCATTGCCTGGAATAACGACGCAATTCCACAGCCTAATCTCACACACACACACACACAGTGTGGAAAATACGTCGTGCAGGATACACCAACGCATCGTCAGTCGCTGAGAAATTGTTAAGCTTATAAACTATGGTCATCATGCCCATTGCCTTTCTCCCACTCAAGTAGCACCTGGGCACGTGAGTGAGTCCAGGAAATGAACATGGTAAGGATTAAATCTGAAAATCCTGAGCTAAAAAAATGATTGATTATGATATCTAACGGGCTAATATTCCTTTGTTCCAACTTTCAGTGACTGTGCTTTATAATTTATTTTAATAATTTGATAAATTACTGAATAAATTACACTCGAATAAAAAAGAAATTGGCAATAAATATTCAGTTCAAATAATATGAAATTCAACAATCTGTGAGTTTGTGATTCTAGTAAAAGTAAAATATCAATAGAAATATTCTCAGGCGACTCACTCGTCAAAGCAGATCTTTGAAAACGCAAAAGTAACATTTAAAATTGTTGCTTTGATTCTGAAATCTGCCTGTCGCGAAAGGCTGTTCTCTTACACGTGAAATACATTTAATACATGTTCAGAGAGATAAAGTGAATTTCATGTTCCAAATTTATTATAGAAATTGTACTGAATGCAAAAAAATATTACAAATATTAGAATGTTACAATATTTACAATATTAAGAAAACGAGACGTGCAAGAGAATCTATCCTGAGCTAATAAATAAAACACAGGAAAGAAAATGTTACTACTCACGGGTAAACTAAATACCCGTGATCACTATGCTCGTCAAAAGTTCTACGTAATACAACCAGTCAGCCGTGTCGATTTGGACCTTTCATCCTACGACATGATTGAATGACCGGAGGAACAAGAATGCATGCGACTCACGTTTAGATGCCAAGAATTTTACCATCGATGTGGTCCAAAAGAAGTTATCTCTCATCAAACAGAAATCCCATGTAAGAAGTACAGTGAATCTGTAACTATTGATTTTGATATTAAATATAAAATTCTGCTGATATTAAATATGTCAGATTCTATTTTTTAATTAATGATAATAATTAAATAAAAATATTAAATATTTATTAACTAAAATACGACGTTCAAGGTTACTTACATTTTTAGTTTTTTTTGAAGCACCGCTGGATCTTTGTCGAGGAACAGGAAGAAAGGAGGAGTGGAAAAATCTTCAACAAAACGTATGGAATATTATAATCTGTTCAGTAAAAAGATACTGATTATTTAAAGAAATCCTAATTTTTTTACAAAATTTCTAATTCGGAAGTCTGAAGGAAACACTTTAATAAAGAAGGAAGAAGTTAGAATTTCACGTTTATTAGTATTTCGTACTAACAAAATATGGCGCGTTTTCCTCGTCGGTTAAATAAAGCTGCGCACTAGACAAAAAACGCGATGCGCAGAATTCAAATTCATCTGTGAAAACGTTCCTTCGCAAAAATGACGTAAACTATTATCATTTATAAAAAAGCAAAAAGCTACGGTTTATTTCTGTCTCGGTATTCGTTCAAATAAACCGTAAAATTATTCACAGTTTCGTCACACATACCATCACTTACGTCAACTATAAACACGTAAATAAAATAACAATAATTTAGTTTTAAATTGTAAGAATAATCAGCGAAATTACGTACAAAGAACATACGTTCATCGAATGAAATAATAATATGGGTGACAGGACGATGATAAAAGTATTACTCACTTAATAAATGTCACACGAGACGATACGCCTTAACGCCACAAGTTTCAACGAAACAATAACCTCTCGCGCAACAGGTTCGCGCTGCCAACTGATTCGATGGAGTGGGGATACGAATATGGACGAACAGGTTTCAACTGATTTCTTGGAAAAACAACAGTGTCCTACGACAAATGTTTACAGCATCGAGGATTATTGTACTTCCTCACTTACATATACATATATGAATATTCACGAATAACTATACATGCTATTTTAGCTTACACATCCTGTTTGTTCAACCATTACATATTGGTTATACTTGAAATCATATATGGTTATACTTGAAATATTGTCCTAAGATACATTTTGTATACTACGCATTTGTATATTTATATATTTATATTTAGTATATTCGTAAATAATATATTTGTATATTGCAGATATACTACAACTTTTAGATATACAATAACCATTATGTTGTTAACAATGGCGGCTCGTGGTTTGAAATCGCGGCAATGCTGCAACTTTCGAGATACACACACACACATCACACACACTCGTTATATTATATTATAATAATATTCTATTATTTTCCTCAATTTATTATCTTTCATTATTTTTTATACAAAACAAGAGTATCGTGCAGAATCGTTGATGATAAAACGAAATATTACAAATAAATGTAAATGAACTGACAAGTATTTATACGAGAAAAATTGGGGATACTGCGGCTGCGCAGTGCCTACGTACAAGCCGCCATTGCGTATTGTAACAGAAATTTCAAAATTTCGCTAACACTGCGTGTCAAACTCAACTATTGTTACAAATAGCGACTGGATTAAATACGTACATGTAGGAATTCGTTTCAGTAATTCGCTCGTCTTTCCACACATCGTTGCAAATCATAGAAACAAGTTTAAAAATTAATAACTGTACTCTTTGCTTCGCGTGATTCCATGCACCTGCGCATCTCGCTTCAAACTGACGTTCGCACGCTACGTACATGCATTTCTCGATATTATAGATCGATCGCCAAAAATATCGATTGTATCACAATAAGAAACATGCATATTTCACCGTGGGAACCTTTATCTAACCTAAAACCATTGTACGCGCATCATTGCGCATAGAATTGTTATTAAATTTATTTACCATTGTCATTATTAAATTTATTTCTATTAAATAAAAAATTAAAGAAATTCCTTTCTCGAACTCTTATTTGCTGATCAACAAAGTATTTGTAATTTTATTCTTTACCCAACGCAAAACTAATTTTAAATCTTTATTTCAGATTTTCAGTTAGTTTAATAAATTTAGCTTATTCACCTTTCAAAGTGACTAATGATCCATTATACTTCTATCGATACGAAATTTTTCTACTGATTGTGTTTCCAAAATCATTTTCTCGAAATAGACAAAATATAAAGTGAACCTGAGATTCAATGTTTTCTTTCGTATCTCTCATCATTATCTTGTCATATACAATGTTTTTGATTTCGTGTAGTAATGGTTAATCGCAATTATATTTTTCAACAAATAACAAGAAAAAAGATATAGACAGTTATATACAAGTGCTTCTCTTGATGAAGATAGAAAATCGAATTTATTCCTCTACAACTCAAAACGTTGAACTATCAGTGAATTAAATTAAACTTCTCGTTCTAAGAGATCATTCTTATAAAATAACACACGGATTTGTTACATTTTACGTAATTAATTCAGGAGGAGATTGGTGCAGGATGGTAGCGCCATCTATCGATAAACCATCGGTATTAATAAATTTTCAAAATACTTATTTGTTTACTTTACGGGTCAAGCGGGATGTAAAAAAAAAGCTGGAGATCTAATTAGGAAGATACAATCGAAAAAGTTTGCAAATTCATTCTCTAAACCAGTTTTTTTTGCAAATCAAAGTTTGATCGATTTACAGACACTGAGATGCTAGCGCCGCGTAGCGGTGAAACGGTGGAACTAATCTATATGTCTGTCCTTGTCGCACACTATTGCTTTTTCTGTCTACAATTGCAGAGGTGCTGCCATCTGATGATAGTTGGAAAAAACTGTGTTCCGACTGTGGACAGTACCACAAACAATTAAAATAACTAATTAAAATATAATTAAAATATAAACACTTCCAACTTTGTCTTTCGAATTACATTCTCAGCTTTCGTCCTATATTGTATATTATTGCATGCTGAAATGCATGTATAAAGATCTGCAAATTCTATTAAACACTCTTGCTTCATTTCTCGCATTACACATTCGAAAATTTAAATCAAAATTGTTCCAAATTGCCTGAATGTAATTAAACGTAAATGAATAGACAAACACGCTGAAAAATGACCTCAATTCTTTACTTTATTACTTCTTTCATGTAAATTACTATAAATCTATAATATAAAAAATGCCTTGTTCGATTTAACATACACTTATAAAAATATCATATAAATATACAGTAAATGGTTCAATAATACAATTCTCGTTTTTTTTCGTTTTTTTTAATATTTTTCAATAGGATTAATGCATACATGTTTACCAAATTCACTAAAAAATATACGTACTCTCTGATATTTACACCGTAGAAAAATATGTATACGTTGCATAGTTCAATAAATATATCTTCTTATATTTCACTTTTTTAAATACCGTTTTTAAGCAGTGTTCGTAAATATTGCTAATATACAACGATCGCGTTAATTTATCATAAAGTGGGCTAACTTTTGATTACTTTCCGTGTCAAATTTTGGTCTTTTAACTTTGTGCATGCTGTCCTTCGCACTTCTTATCCTGATAATAGAGGGATTCGAAAGGTTTTCAAGTTTCGAATGTCCTCCAAAGCCATCGAACGCATTCGCATCCTATACCGATGACGTTTATAAGTAAACGAACCAACAGTTTTAAATTTACTTATGCATATACTTACGTTTCTAATGCTCTTTTCCGCAATTCTCGATTTCTTCGCAAGAATCGAGGAAGTTAGTTTCGCCGAATTACTTTTTTCGATTGGCTGTTGCTTTAAAGCCAATACACCTCTTGATTTCACTGGAAGATACGGAGAATCTGTCCTCTAAAGATCATTAATGATTAAAATTAAGATCATTACTTATTAGTAATAAAATCAATCTGTTATTATAAGAAATCTGTCTCATTACTGTAATGGTGGACTGAGTCTTCTCTTCTCTGTTTGCATCCTTCCTTTGCTTTTTATCCATATCTTCCATCTTTTCTTCCTTAGAACTGTTCCTTGAACTACTATCTGACACATTGTTTGCTTTCGAATTAGCTGATATTTTCATCAAAGACATACACTTTTGCAACTCCCTAAGCTTGTTTTGTAAACTTATCTTTTCACTTTCGTAAATCATCAACTCCTCCTCAAGCTTTCTATGCAATAACAATAAGCAACAATAAGTAGTGTGATTAAAGATCAGCCAATCAAAACGCATCGCCACGAAGTTTACGTACTTTCTTTTCATGTGCTCATCGGACAAGAACTTTTGTTGCATTGAGACTTTGTTCAGTTCCTGTTGCAAGCTTCTTAGTCTAGCTCTTAATTCTCTCTTCTTGTTTAAGCTAATCGTCATTTCCCTAAATTTTACAAGAATTTCTAAAGCTGTGGAACATAAATGTCAAACAATCTTACTGGGAATGAATAGATAATATACAAATACCTTTTCATCACACTTATGTATGTTATAAGGGTAGCGGTATCGCTTGTTTTCGCGATCATTTCGTCTACAGCTTCTGTAGTGGCTTCGAGTAGTATTTGTATGCTTAAACACAGAATACACTTAAAATAATATATATTACATGTATACATGTATATCCTACATGTAAACAAAATATAAAATATACTATAAAACATATATAGTTTATATAGTATAATATAGTTATATAGTATAGTTAGATAGTATAAATATAGCATTAAATAATATAAAAATAGTATAAAAATAGTATAAAACAAGGCACTATGAACTTTTCACTTACTTTTTATACTTTTCAATTCTCTTCTGCAACTCCTCGATTTCTTTCTTCTTGCTGTCAGCTTCTAAATTTTGCTCCTTAAAAAGCTTGATTTGCTCCTTAAGGGCATAAATGGCACTAGATTTTTCATTCACTGCACTTTCCGCTTTTCTCACCTCCTTCTTCAGCTCTTTATTCTGCTTTTCCAGAATTTCATTCTTCTCCATGTAATACTTAATGTCCTTCTCTTTCAACGTGAGTTGAAAATTCAATTTATCGATTTTGTCTTGTAACAAGCACTTGTCCTCGATAATGGAGTCGTTATTAGCAAAATTGAAGTACAATCTATGAATCTTATTCGACGTGGTCTTCTCTCTGCATTGTGGACAGGTTTTGGATCTACATGGAAAAAAAAAAGAAAAAAATTAATACATTCACAGAAACAACCAAAATATAAACATCGCGTAAAGAAACAAGAGAATTAATATATTTGAAGGAACGAGACACGAGGCCGATTTCGTTCGAAGGTGTCGCACGTTCATTCAAAATTCATCGATTAAAAGCGAAAACTTTTCTCTTACCTTTCCAGCCACTGAGTCACACAAAGAAAATGAAAAATATGCCCACATGGCGCGTGAAAGACGTCATCAGCAGGCGTTAGTAAATCTCTGCATATCACGCAAACAATATTCATTTTATACAGGATTGACACACTCGATGTTCAAACTCTCATCAAATACGAACACACATATATTTGTATTTTTGCCAACACGAAGTTCTTTCTCAAGTCCACTGTGCCATAAACCCAGTCGAACTAATCGTCGTTTGTGATGAGGCCAACCGTGGTTTGTGCCTCTTTCTGTAAACTCTGGAAAAGAACCGCCCCTATTGCTTCTATTGGTTCTCTTTTCTTATTAAGTAACCAGTTACTTAAATAACGTAATAAAAGTTACACCTCTGCTAACCAAAATATGACAAAGTAATAACTGCTAATTTTTATGTAAATTCAGATTTTTGAGACTACAGCTAAATGTGGATAAATAATTGTCTCACTTACCGAGATATTTATATAAAAATCATCCGTATTTTCGATATTTTATATATATATATTTTTTTCTTTTCGCGTTTCAAAATTTGCTACAAACGCGTAAAAATAATAATAAATTAACTAATTGCCGGTATCCCAGTCGGGTCACGAATTACCTGAAAATAATCTTATCTAAGTAAATTACCTTAAAACCTGAATTATAGATTATGACAATGTGTCGCCGTTTTACATAAAAAAGTATTTTCCCATTGAGTCGACGAAGTCGAAGATTAAAGCAGATGTGAGTAATAAAAGTGGCTAGTCTGAAGAATCGGTTGTTACTAGCAAGAAAAGAAAAGAAGGGAAGAGAAACACTCAAAATCGAGTGGCCTGTGGGAGGAAAGGATTTAGCTTAAGCTAATTGTACTGCAATATTTTTCATATAAATAACTTCGTATTTTATACAATGAGTTGCCTTGTGTCCGCTCAATTTCATTAAAAGAAAGTTTAAACAAGGTTTGAATTTCTAACCTAGAAAATTCGTATCAAACGTGAATGCGAATTAAAAAATATACATATATGTCAAACTAACCATTGTTTACCATGGCACCATCTAGCGAAGTACATACAATAATCTCATATTTCATACAATAAGTTCGCCTTAATGACCGTTTAATCTCAAAAGAAGGTCCGAGTTTCTAACCTCAAAGATTCGAAGATGAATACGAAATAAAACAGTGTCGAAAATTAACCGTTGCTTATAGAAAGATATGACGCCATCTAGCGACGTACATATCTTTCAAAAATCGTCGAATATCGGCTTCAAAATTCTTACTTTTTCGAAAAATCGAGAAATCGATTTGCGCGATCGATTCCGGCGATTATCTCGATTTGCTCGAGATATCGCGACTGACGTGAAGCATTGGTAAACGAGGAATACTTTTCGTTTAAAATTGTCCACTGTTCTCTTTTCCGGAACTCCGTGCAGTAAGTCCAATTTCTTGACTTAGACAATTCTAGTCATCATTACGTAACTGTTCGCTCGTTGCGCCTTCCGACGTGTAAAATATTTTGACGTTCGGTTTCCTATCTAAAATAACGTCGTCGTTACACGTTCACGAAATTTCTAGAAGTGTTCCACATCCCTCCCCCCACCACTGTCACGTTTGTTTCTCTAGTAATTTCGAGTTTCGCGTGGAGGCTTTCACGTTATTTATTTGTCCGAGAAGTAAGATTCGATGTTCAACGTGCACGACACCCTCCGGAGACGATCAACCCCTCACGAAACGATGTGCTGAGTACTCGAGATCGATTGAAAGTCGCAAACTCTCAAGTCGTACTGTAAATAAATAAAAATCCATTTCCAGTCGAAATTTCGAAAAGGTCTTTCGAAAATTTTGGTAAGTGAAATATAGCTGAGATGTTACGTAAAATATTTGTTATTCTTAGTGAAGTTGTCCAAGTAACGAGTACGTATTATAGGTTATGCTCCCCGTGCGTCACTCAAAATAAGTTCCCACGAGACCGAGAATCCGCTATTTTTCCCATCTTTGTTATTCCTTCGTTGATTTTTCATTCAGTTTGTATTACGTCACAATTTATTTAACACTTCCAGAAGAAATTGAACGTGTGCTTCAAAGAAAAAAAATTTGTATTGCCGAGAAAAAGAGACTGAAATTCGTTCGACTTCGTTTGCCAACGTTTAACGTATCTCCGTGCTTCATTGTAACTTAACGATCTTTTTTTGCTCGTAATTAAACAAGCGACGAAGTTAATTCTCTGTACTACTAGTTGTCAATTTATATTCCAATGCCTGAAGTCAATTACATTTCAGTTATACGCATTTTAGTTATCGTGCTCTCATTGTTGTTCGATACGTCGTTCTATGTTTTACGTTGTACTATGAAGTAATTGTTTATTTTAATGAATACATTTAGACTTTGTTGCATTGTAATTTTTTAGTTCTTGAGAAATGGCTAAGTGGGGTGAAGGAGATCCAAGGTGGATCGTTGAAGAAAGGCCCGATGCCACCAATGTAAATAATTGGCACTGGTATGACAAAACTTTCAATGTACATATTTTGTTCTAGAGTTATATCACAAATAAACTTTAGATTGTAGATATATGTATATATATAATGAGCAAAATTAAGTTTTACATAACAGAGATTGGTTGCAATTAATTTTGTTGCTATATATCAAATTAGATTTTTGCATTCTATTAAATTCGTATGAATATTATTTTATATCAGTAATGATTAGAAAGACATTTACTAGAATTTATTGATTATTTAAAATTTTTATCATTAAAAAACAATACAATCTGAGAAAAGTTCAAATTAAGTTTTAACTAATGTATTCATTTGTAAAAGTTCATGTACAATTGAGAGTCCATTTGATTATGGTTACTGTAATTTTATTATAATTTTAATAGGTTCATAGTAATTTTAATTTTTTTTTAAGGACAGAGAAAAATGCCTGTGTTTGGTCCCAAGAAAAAATAAAAGAATTATTTACCAATATGAAGATGGAAGGAGATAATGGTTTGCATTTATCTTTTGTATTATCATTATATTATCATTAATAATTTATATAATCGTTTAATAGCTATCATATACATGTAAAATTTCACGTGCAATGTAAATCAGAGTGTCTCTTTTAGTTTCCTGTAAAGTAAAAGAAGTAGAGAAATGTGAAGGTGAGGCAATGGCAAATAATCGAAAAGGTAAATTAATTTTCTTCTATGAATGGAATATTGTTTTGAAGTGGGTATCCAACAAAAAATCTGATAAGAAGATTGAGGGTAAAATAAACATTCCAAATCTCTCTGAGGAAAATGATATTTCTGAAATAGATGTAAGTATTTAAGAGTATTTGAGAGAGAGAGAACAAAAGAAAAAAATATACTAACTTTAGGTTCATGAACTTTAATTCACTAATGTTGATTGCAATATGTAATTTAGACTTTTTTATAAACACCCTTGTTACTTAATGTTTAATTTCATATTTAATGAAATTTTTATGAAAATATTTGAAGTAATAAAAAAAGACATTAATTTCTTTACAGATTGAAATTACTCTAGAAGATAGTACAGACGAAGGTGAAGCAGTGAAACATTTTCTACATACGAAAGGAAAAGAATTTATTAGGGATAAATTGAAAAAATATGTTTCTTCCTTAAAAGAAGGTATACTTATATTAATGTTGTAGCACACTGAAATAAGAATTTAGTTTCAATAAATACAAAGTGTAAAAAATATAAAATAATTGATAAAATTAAATTTGGTACTAATGTGATTTTTTACTTTATTATTAGAATTCACAGTTGGAATGATTTTACCCAAAAAAGATAATGTAAAAGAAAATATTTCAAATATCACTTCTGGATTCAATGCAAAAGTAAATATAAGAATGATTTATGTTGAGTACAGAATATTAGATTCAAGAATTTTGTTAACCATTTTATAAATAATTGTTATAGATGCAAATGAATTCTACTGTAGTGTCATCGAATAATAAAAAAGAACTAGGATGTAAAATTTCCACGACGACGATTAAGCAACAACAGAAGTTTCAGTGCAGAGCTGAAGAATTTTACAACGTATTTACAACAGTTGAGGTAAGTTTATTGCGATAATAAAAATATTTAATAAAATATATACTTCATTAAAATACTTAATAACTAAATTAAGATCAACGAAAATCTTAAAACATCTTAAAACATTATCGATTACAATGTATTGTATACTAACTATTTTATTTCTTATATTATAATTTTTTGTTATCTTATCATACACCGCTCATTCCAGCATAAAATATTATGAATAATCGATATTTTGCTGTCTATGATAGAAATACTGTCATTTACATAGATAATGTTACTTTGAAACAGTTCTATAACATTTCATCTGAAGTCTAATTGAAAAAATTGTGTGCGCACTTATAAGAGTTATAGTGAAATTAATGACTAATAATTCAATTGTGTTAAACATTGAGGCGTAAATAACAACACTTATTTTGTTATAAATATGGGAAAATAACATGAATTTTCAATGTTAAATTATGTATTTAAGATTTAAGATTTTCGGTGTTCACATTATTTTTTGTTTTCTTTTATTTTCACAATTTTGATTTATCGATTTTATTTGTAATTTGTTTAAAGATCATTAAGGTACTTATTTGAAGTTTATTAAATATTTTTAAAAAAAAGTATAGGATGAAACCGATAAAATCTTTCTTTTTTCTAGAGAAATGCAACAGAAACCCGAATAATAGAATAAAAATTTTTCAAGTATGAAAAACAAACAGAATGGTTAAGATGATTGAATAATTGCTTTTAGTTTTATATTTCTTTGATCTATTTTGTGTAATCTAACAATTCCTCATTTCATGGATCTTGTTAAGAATCTTATAATTCGACATGCTTCTGATGGAAATAAACACTATGACTTACTATTCATAGAAAGGTACATAATATACGACTTGTACTGTTAGTGAGTACTAATTGAATTTTATTTTTTAGTAATAAAAAAATTCTGATGATAGTAATAGAATATAATCTCATGTGTTTTTAAAGTTTACAGCATTTATAAGTATAAGTAATTGCAAGATTCTTTTTTGAAAAATTTTTATTAAAATGTAGCTTTGAAGTAAAAGAATTTCAAACTGAAAAATTCATGTATTACACGAAAAATATATTTCGAAGAATATTTACCCTGTTTTTTAGGTTAGGTTTCAAATTATATACCTTTGAATGATATTATTTATATATTAGTTTTAAATTTTTATCTTAGAATATAATAAATTTCTCAAAGAGTTGCAATAACAAAATGAAAAGGAAATATTTTATTCTTTTCCGCATAAAATTTAAAGAAATAAGATTGATTTTTTCATCTCATCTTAAAGCTGTGAAAAAGTTTTAATAAATCATATATACAAGCTGACTGAAGTATAGTGAAAGAAATTATTTGTAATACAATGTTTTCTTTCAGATGGTTCAAGCATTTACAAAGGGACTGGTGAAGCTCGAATTGAAGAACGGAGGCAAATTTGAATTATTTGGTGGTAATATACATGGCCATTTCATGGATATAACGCCTACGAAGATTGTTCAAAAATGGCGTTGCAAACAATGGCCTGATGGCCATTATAGTGATGTTACTATTGATATTTGTGAAAAAAGTGACCATACTGAAGTTAATTTAACACAAGTAGGAGTACCAGTTAGGTAAATAAACTCTACAATCTTTTATAATATTTGACTTAATATGTGACTTGTAACACTCACAAATATTTATTTGCAGCGAGGAAGAATCCACAAAAGAGAATTGGGAAAGGTATTATTGGGATCCTATAAAACGTACATTTGGATTCGGTTATTTTATGTGATCTACGTATGTTTTAAAGTTTGCTTGCTTACTGATAAGTAGAAAAATAATTAAAACTTGTTTTAATTTAAAAATTGCCTCGCATACCATTTACGAACTAGCCACATAATAATCAGCCACGTACAAAATGTTTTTCATCACAATGCTAGTTACAATTCTTTTTTCTTTCCCTACCATTTCTATTTAGTACATTGCATCGTATAAGCGTGACAATTGTGTCGTTGCTTGAACATAAATGAATTATTACCAACGTGATACGTCTGTATTAATAGTTGTATATGTCAAATAAACCATGTCACATATTTAAAGGTTTTTCTTATTTTCTACCTTCGAACATATTAAAAGGAAATTGATTAACGAAACTCGAGAAAATATGTAGACTATATTCTACAGTCTTCATATTTTATATAACTTCAACCTTTTTTTTCCAGAGGAAGGGAAAAATGCCCTTACGCATAGCCATCAGTTACGTGGGACTTGTCCAAGTGCCTAGATGTTCTTCAAACACTCACCTCCACTCCTTGAAAGTGCTTTCGCATTACTTCAAAAAGTGAGATTGGAATTGGTGTCTTTCGCATTCATTTTGTAAAATCTTACAGTAAAAAATTCAATGAAATTCTTCAGAACTTGTAAAAAATGCAATTCCATTTAATTCCTAATGTTTAATAACACATACATATATAGATAAAAATATGAATAAAAAATAATTATTGGATAAAAATGTAAAGAGAGTTAATTACAATTATCTTTGCAAGCGTATTTTTACAAATTCTATTCATAATTCAAGCATTGATTGATTAAAGTTTTACCGCTATTGAATAAATTAAATAAAATGATGTTTTATTAAATATATTTTATTCTACTAAGATGATATTATAGTTAATATTCTGCTTCACTGTGATTTCATGCAAATGGAATAACACATATATATTACAAAAATATAAAACAAAAGACGCGTTTGATTATCATTTTGTTGCCAAAGGAGATTAGATCGTGCTAATGTTTCTCTCATTAATTGTAAACAAAGATCTTGATTTACTCATTCTAAAATGACTTTTCAATTCAATTCAGGGGTTGGGACACTGAAACCGAACGTAAGTGAGATATAACTATTTTTCATATAAATTTTACTAAATTACTGCACAATGTTGATGGCACTTTCGATATTTTTCAATATTTCTGACAGAACTGAATAAAACATCAAATGTCATCAATTTAACTCGTTTAGAATTACCAAATTGAATAAATCCCTTCCAGTTGACTAGTTCCATCATGCTTATGCAAGAAAACATCAACGTTCAATATATTCCAAGTTCCGTTGATCAATCAGTAACTGCCCAACATGACGGGGTTCACATATATCCTAAATTTATTGAGTTTAACGAGGCTAGCGAAGGGATTACTTGCCAACAGCGTATCATCATTAAGAATACTGGAAAAAAGTCAGCTTTTATTAAAGTTCATCAGACCAAGTCGATAGTTAGTCAGAATTGCTTACTTAATTAAATTACTTGCTTAATTAAATTATTTTAGAAGAATAAGGATACCTTTCCTTTTCAATTTTAATTACGTTCCGTTTGAACAACAAAGAAAAATGTATGCATTACTTTTCAGTCGTTTCAAGTGAAAAGTTTAGACAAAGGAGTAATTTTAAATCCGGGACTAAGCATACGCACGGTGGTCACGTATTCCTTTAAGCGACCGTCTTTGTTGCGCACAGTAATACCAATTGAAATCAACGGGAAGATCTTTGATTATCGTGTCATTTGTAAATTATTGAACGAAGGCATTGATATCGAGCCAAAATCAATTGACTTTGGAATCGTCGATATCGGCCATTCTTCCGGCATTAAAGTAATTACCTTGAAAAACAAAGGTGGTCAAAGCACCAGGTAGTATATAATTATAGTTTTATTCATAGGAAAATTGCATTCACGATATTGGCAACTTCTTACTTCAATTTAAAATTATTTCGTTTATTTTCTTTCTTTTTTTCTTGTAATCCATTTCTTTTTTATATACACACACGTGTACTCTTGGACTGTATGCATTATGTTTATTAACACGGAATCAACAGATTTTCGATTGATCTTGGTACAAATGATTTAGAAATCACAGTTCAACCCATGCGTGGGATCGTTAAGCCAAATAAGCCAGTTCAGTTGACCGTCGAATTAATCGGCATGAACGAAGGCTCGTTTTTCAGTGAATTTTGGTAAGTTTTATCATTTTATTCTATATTTATAATTAAACACCAGGCTCGTGTAATCGATGTTGTACTTTCGAAAGAGCGATCGCAAGGGTGATTTTATTTTGCAATTTCTTAACGTCATTTTGCGTGATCGGTGATTAGATGAAAATATGGAGAAGATATACCATATCTAAGTAGATACTTCATTCACGTGAAACGTTTATTTGTTGATAGAACATACGAAAAGATCCAAATGATCATCTAATTTATTATTATTATTATTAATATTGATTATTCGTACCCGGCAAAGCTGCTTGATTTTGGTACATCGATCAAGAATTTAATCAGAAAAGAAAAACAGAAAAATTTTCATAAATATCAAAAATTTAAGCATGTGAAAGCTGTAACTGTAACTTTTCGTTTTCAGGATCAAATCAGTCCCAAATATACGCGTTCCTTTTAACGTTAAAGTGATCGTACCGAAACTCGTGATTTACCATCCGAATGCAACCGGAGATTTCACCCTAATTGATTTCTCACGAACCGTTGTCAATACTCGAAAGTACGATTCGTTTGTTTTGCGAAACATCTCCTCCCAAGTAGCTAGCTACGTCGTGCTGGGCGAAATTGACAACGAACTCGTGTGCGTTCGGGTAATTCACTTTAACAAGAAATGAAGATTATGGAGTTTCAATCACTGTGCTTCTTTCTTTTTTTTTTTTTTTTTTTTTTTATAGAACATCGATCGTAAAAAATATCCAGTGTACCGAGTTTTCGAAATTCGACCTACTCAAGGGCGTATCGAGCCGTTCGAGGGCATTATTTTTGAAGTAGGGTGAGTCGCATCTTCGACAAATCATTTTAACAAATACAAACAAATTTTCATACAATAAACAAATATAGATGAATTTTTTAATAAATATTCTTGGAAGTTCGCGAAGTTACGTAGTTGTACTAGGAAAAACAATGGAGAACGTATTCGTTGAACGAGTAGTATATAATTTCAGATTCACGCCAATAGACAGTTCAATGTTATGGCAAAAGACAGTGGAAAGGAAATCGAATGGACGCGAGAGGGATCTCATAGCATTTCTAAGAATCGTCAGAGTGCACGTCACTGAAACCAAACACATTTTGAGTGCGTTGTATTTCCTATATCTTCCACATGTGTTTACTCTGCAGAGATGAATTAACAAATTCTAATTTATCGTGTGTGTGTGTGTGTGTAGGGGCTAATGAAAGCATACGAGACGAGCTGATCGAGGCGCTGCAACCTGCGAACGATCGACAAAGTTAGTATGAGAAAAATTGAAATTGTCATGTTTGATATTTAATCCATTCGCGCAGAATAACAAGTCAGACTCGTGGTGTATTTTTATGGCAATGATATGCATTAACGTGATCAACTTGAAAAGTTGATTTACTTTCGAATACTCATTTTTCTGCCAAACACTGTTACACTTGACTGTCACGTTAATATGAGTAGTGGGGCGATCAACCGTGTTAATAAAACTGCGTATGCTGATAGAGAACGTGCCAATCATGAGCGACTGTTCCTCGTCCTCGTCCACCGTGTCCACCCTGGATTCTGGCCTGAACGACACCGTGAGACTGTGCCTGCACGGCGAGATGGAAGCGGCGCGTTTTATCTTCCAACCGGACACCCTCCATTTTGGAGAGGTTCGCGTCGGCGAAGATTCGCAGCGTGTCCTCCGTATATCGAATCCACTGAAATTCGCGCCATTGCTCTGCAGTTATGTACGCCATGCGTCGACCTGTTGCTGTCCAGAGACAATGACCTTGAAACCAGAAGGGTCCGTGGAAGTACTGTTGAAAGTTCGAGGAAAAGAAAATGGTAGCCAACTACAAAAGAATTGCGTAATTAAAATACATTCGAAGTTTTTTCTTTTTTTTTTTTTTT